CCACAAAGTTTGAAAGAATAAGCTAATATGCTGAGAGTCAGTCCTCCTCACCCAGCTTCCTTGCCTGGTTGTAGAAATGTTTGCTCTGTGTGCACTAATTATAACCAAGAAGGAAAACAAGTGTATTGACATTACATCCTCCACGCTCCAAATCTCTAGTCCAAGAAGAAACCATACACCTCGCTCTGACTACTGAGAAAATGTTGAATCTTGGAGTTAAGTCACCTCCAAAGGGCATGTATCTGCCTTCTCTAGCACTTCTGCCCCTGCCTTTTATGCACCATGAACGTTTTTGCCTCCTTGCAACACAGGGAAGAGAGAGGATAGGCTCTGCAGTCACGTAGGGAGGCTCTTGGGTAGGTCAGTACAGAGGGGAAGTGGTAAGCTGGAACGTGTCGAGAGAGAAGTACAGAAATAGGAGGGCGGCAGGCAGATGTTCTGGTAGAAAGGCTCAAACCTGCTGAGGTTGGAAGGAGAGTGACCTGGGGAGCTGGCGGGTGTTTAGCTGCAGGACATTTCCAATGTCACAAGCACTGGTTAACAGTCCTTGTAATTATGCACCTTACTTCTGGCATCTGGAATTGAAATTTTTGAAATTCACAGCCGACAGACACAACTTCTAGCCAATGTTTCCTTACTAGCTTTTATGGGTGGTTTTAAAGTCTCTTTCAGTGATCTAGCCCGTATTTAAGTTCTTTGCAGTTCTGGTTTTAAGCTATGAGATTGAATTCCCTTAATGCCACTTTTGAATAAAATTTGTCCACTAAAATTGTATTTTCAGTTTACAGCTGAAGGATTTGGGCATTAGTTGTTCAAAAGAAGTAACAACTTTAATTGAAACGTGTAGCTGCTCTACTACCAGTATTTCCTTCGCAGTTCATGGTTTCATCCATCTGAGAGGGTTTCTCTAGGGACATATACCGAATTCATACCAGTCATGTCATAACTTCCTCATTTGAATTAATTAAGGCCTTTTTCATTGAGTCTTTCGGTGTGGTTTCCTTCTGTCCGTGTTTGCCAGAGAAGTGTGCCAGGTAGTAGTGCTGCACGACTGAAGTAGCCTATTGAAAAGACGTGGGTAGTTGATAATCTCATTTGTGTAATGAGAAAGGCAGTTTGCAGGGCTAAATGTGTTATCCGTAGAAGAAAGAAGCTAATTGCTTCCTTATTGTCAATATTTCAGCCATCGGTAATGCATACGCGGTATTGAGCAACCCCGAGAAGAGGAAGCAATACGACCAGTTTGGAGATGAGAAACTCAACCCTGCTCGGCACGGACACAGTCACTCGGACTTCCACCGCGGGTTTGAGGCAGACATCTCCCCTGAGGACCTCTTCAACATGTTTTTTGGTGGTGGTTTTCCTTCTAGTAAGCACGTTAAACCTTAATCTCTTGAATGGGACCCGATCCTTTTGACACAGCGACAATGCAGTAGTGATTTATTTGGCCGTGGGAGGATTGCTGAGTTTGATGAGGGAGAGTTCTCCTTCACACGTGACCTAAACACCTAGAGTTTTCTAAATTGTTCAGAACAAAAAAATACTTGTTTTAAGTCTAGTTGTAAAAGTAATCCTATTTTGAAGAAGGCTTTTCTGCCCGGTGGTTTTAGAAGTTAAATCTTACCATCAGAACAAACTGGGCCTTGTTCTTGATCTGTATCTGCTCTGCCACACAGCTGAAGCAGTTTCTCGGAGATCAGCGTCCATTTCCTTCTTTCCACTTTGTCCCGTAAAAAAAGAGGAAAGTGTTATTTCTAGAGCATAATTTAAACTTCTTGAATTGAAAATGAAATCTGTACCCTGTCTATCCACAGTGGTTTGGGTGGCAGGAAAGAACCGAGTGACTGTTCCTTCACTTGATCAGTTCTGATCAAAAGACACAGATTTAATGTAAGGGTAAGGGTATTTTAGAAGACCCCCTTGTATTTGCTCTAGTCATATTTGACTGGCAGGGGGGGCAGTGGTTATTTGACCTCTGTGGACCAACTTGGAAAAATCAGTATTTTTGTTTCAATTGAGATGATTTACTCTGGTAGCTCTTTCCTATCTGGTATGTAAGAATTAACACACTAACACCAAGTATTTGCAAAGGCATCTGGAAGCCTTCTGCAGCATTCGTGTTCTGCCTGCCAGAGAGGTAAAGCTACTCCAGTAAAAACAGCATATTGCTATTTTAGCTCAGTCTTTTTTCCTTTCCTCACTGTCCCAAGAGAATTCAGGCCCGCTTTCTCAGCTGGTCTCCCTTTTCAGCTGTAGTTTTGACATTTAAAACAAGACATGGCAGAACTCTGTTTTTAGGGTGGAAAAACTACCACGGTTATTTCTTTCGGAAATTGGTTTTAATCTGAATTAAATTCAATTAGAAGCGAGGAGGCCTGTACAAGATATTCTCTCTACATAGCTGGCCCTGCTTTGAGCAGGAGGTTGGACCTCCTGAGGTCACTTCCAACCTGAATTTTCATAATGATCCTACAAAATCCTATAGTCAGATCTCTCTGCCCACCGCCAGTTCGCCTTCAGACATATCTGCTCAGTCCACCCTGGGAATACTCCTTTCTCAGCTGTGGCTTGTATGGCTCATTTTGTAAATGTTGGCTTCTGGTGACGAATAGAATTTTTTGGTACGAATTCTTCTATCCGTCTCCTGCGGAGTCACATATCCGCTTCGCCCTACAGCTACAGCCATCTCTGTCAAGGCAGCATGATGGAGCGGCTTGAGTCAGGGGCTGTGGTCATGTGGCTGCTCACCAAAACGCTGGACCTGCGCCTTGTGCACTGGGACATACGCAGGGATCTCAGGAATAGCCCGAGTCCATCAAACCACTGAGACATCCCAGCTCCAGCCTGGCAGCGGCCCGGCTGAGCAGATGTGCTGTCCTTCTTCCAGCTCTGAGCCGGCTGGCATGCTGCTGGCCACGTGGAGCAAGCTGAACTGGGAGCGGCGGTAACAGCAGACCGGATCTAAGTGCGAGCACAGCGTGGATTCCTTTACAATCTCTATGTCCTTACACCTTTGCTGAGTGTGGCACGAAGCAAAGAAACAGATCAAGCCCATTCTGACAATGTTCAAAGTTAAAGTTCCTGAATTGGCTGTTGTCAGCGCCCAGTCTACTTTTTCCTACTGTGTTTTTTTATTGGTGAGATTGGCGTGGAACATGGCCACCTTTTGTGGTTCTTTCCTGGCCGGCCAGCACCATCTTACGTACTCTGACTTTTGTGTAACAGTTTTCTTTTGCCTATAGGTAACGTTCACGTATACAGCAATGGCAGGATGCGATATACCTACCATCAGAGGCAGGACAGACGAGAACATCAGGGTGACGTAAGTGGAGAACAGGCTGGGGGCTGGGAGTCTAAAGGTTTTTCCGATACGTGAATTGCGAGCTAGTTGGTCTGGCTGTCTTGTGAAAGAGTCCTGCTTGTTTCCACCCCGCTGAACAGAAAGCTGGAGTTGTGGGAAGTGAGCTGCCTTCAGAATTTACACCAAGTTGTGGTTTAGTTTACTGATGGTTGTTCTGCCGGGACTTTCATAGCTGTCGTCGAGTGGGGAAGTCACTGGTGTGTCTTGAAATGGTGCCACCTTGAAATAAGATTGCACCAGTAAAATGTACCTGTCTTTACCACAGAATAAGCATTTCCTTTCTGATTTAATTCTGTAATTTGAAAAGGTAAATCCACTTTTCAGATAATAGGGGTACTCGTGGCTCCTCCCAAGATGAGCTCATCCTCCCTTTTATTCCAGTATTGAAGATGGGGTGTTTCTAATCTGTGAAGCTTAATTAACCAAGGAGGACACTTTATAGCATGAGCTATTCTTATGTTTTCCCATCACAGAAAATCTAAGTATATCTCCAGCACTCCAAGCCCTCTGGTCTAGAGGAGTGAGAATGAGGAACTTACTATTTAAGACATCAGGGTTATGTATTGAAGATAACTATTTTGGGGGGATAGTAAATTATATTTTAAAAAAAAAAACCCTAACTTACAAACAATAAGAACTTTCTGAATATTTTTTCTCAAGCTTAAGGGGGAATTGTGCTCTGCTGGAACTGGAGGGACCTCAGGAGGCGAGATAGAAGGAGAATTACTTTCATCTGACACTGAAGAGGGGAGAAGGCTTTCCATAAAACCAGTTCTATTCACTAGCACAAGCAGGACAGAAACCACACAGAAAAACTAAATATGGGCATGAGGCTTTTGAAATTCGCTCACAAGGTTCCCCTTGCCAGTCCCCTCTGCCCTTTGTCACATTCTGGAGAAGGGGCAGTGGGTTTGGACCTTTGGAGTCATGCTACCCTTTCTGGAGGGGAACCAGTTATTCATTCTGGGGTGCCTCCTGAGCCAAGTGCCTGTGAAAAGCAGGAGAATCAAGGTTGTGTTAGGGCTGGGCGGGAGGGAGAGTCATGCTATGGGATCCTTGCGTACAAGTGTATGGGGTGGCACTCCACTGTGTGTTTCTGTTCCTTCAGGGTGGCCTTGGGTTGTTTGTCCAGCTGATGCCTATCCTCATCCTGATCATTGTGTCTGCTCTCAGCCAGATGATGGTCTCCAGCCCACCCTACAGTTTGAGCCAGAGGCCGTTAGTACCTGTTACTCTCAAAACTTACCCAGCTGGGGAGGGGGTTGGCTTCTGGAGGGCAGGGTGGCATGATGGGGTAAGGTGCTCTGTTTTTTCTGGGGTTTTTTGTTTGTTTGTTTGCTTTATCTCATCGCACCGTTGTTCTTGCTGCCAGATGTCTCACACATCAGCCTCTGTCTGGTTCTCAAACAGGTCTTGACATGGAAGGTTGGAGGGTACTTGCTTGCCTAAGGGAAGGATGTTCTTTGACAGGGACCTTCTGCAGCCCATAGCCACAGCTGAGTGGGTCTGTCCTAGAAAGGGACAGACAAAATGACTTTGAGAGACTGTAGCCCAGTACTGAGATCCCATATGCAGAATAAATTGAGGTGTAGAGTTAAATTGGGGTGTGAAAAACCAAAAGCCAGATCTGTCCTTCATGAAAGCCTAGTACAAAGCAACAGAGGAAGAGAAGAAGGAATAAAAGACACTCCTGTAGAGTAAAAGACACTCCCAGAGAAGTCCCCTGTTTCTGAACTCTAATCTCGCCATGAAATAGCTGTGGCCAGACGTTTACTGTGCAAAAGTGAAGCTGGTTCATTCTAGATGCTGTGGAAGTGCCCCAATCTGCTTACTCGGCTGACAAACGAAATGAGTCTTTATTCTTACTCGCTTCGCAGTGCCAACAAAGAACGGGAAAACAGGCTTGATTTCTGGCTGCTTGCCTCATTCTTGACAAAAGCTTAATGTATTTTCAGTGGAAGTTCCGTATGTCTATTTAAAGAGGGTAGACTTGGTAACAGCCAGCGGGCCCTGTTTAGTTTCACAGGTGACAACATTTGCCATTCATGATGTTAAATACTATAAAACCCAGCTTAGCTTTTGGGCCCAAGGTAAAGACTATGACATTGGAACCAAAAGGTGGAGTGGTTTTGAAGAGGGCACAATTAAGTTATTCTGAGAGGCTAAAGAGTATTGAGATACGTTTTCTGTAGTTGATATTAGGACTATAAAATTAAGCATTATATATGTATACCAGTCTGTTTTATACTGGTGAAGAGGCGGTTTACGGGGCCAGATGATGTTCAGTGGAGGGCAGCTTGTAAGTGGGCAGGGATTTGCTTCCAGCCTTGTCAGCTGTCAGAGGAAAGCCATCCCTGAGCCCCCGGTGTTTCTCTGCTGCTCGGTTCCCCGCTCCCTGCACTGTCCCTGTCTCTGCGTGCTCGGGTAGCAGCCAGCAAACCAATGTCCAAGTTTGGATTTGGACAGGAGGGGTAAATGAGCTGATTCAGTCCTCCCTCATCTTTCCTGAGTGACTGAGGTACTTCAAATGAAATGAGCTCGGGAGCAAAAGGCTGTGCCGGCAGGCGGTGCTGCTCGCTTGCTCGCCCATGCAGGCAGCCGGGCCCCTTTTGCTGCCTGGTGTAAAGGGAAATGCTGTGCTCGGCTGTTGTTCGGCAGAAAGCTGGAGCTCGCTGCACTGAACTCAGCGCGCAGGAGGCGAGAACCTGTTGAAGTTTTAATGGCACATGGAGATTTCAATGCCACTTCTTCATAATGAAGCTGTCACTGGGAAAGGCAGCGTCCTAAAGAACCATTTGTCACTCCGTTGCCTTTGTAAACCTCTTCCAAAAACTAGATTTCTGCCAAAAGGCTTGTCTAGTTGTGGGCCTGTCCGTGCCACCCTTCTCTTCGATAACGCCTCATCGCATCTACCTGACTTAATTGCATGTTGGACTTCAGGTGGCAGGTTTCTTGTGCTAGGTCCTGCCTTTCTTTTATACTCAAGCATGCTGCTGAAACTCTGTGAGCTTAAGTGCTCCTCCTTCGAGGGCAGACTTCATAGCCTCTGTAGTTCATCGTTATACGGAAGAGGAATAAGAACTTTGGGAGGCTCTGTCTTGACAGGTAAATAATGAGCTGAGCTTCTTCCAGACTGCATCTCTGCCAGCAGGCGCTGCTGGAGATGCGTTAGCCCTTGCCTTGAAAAATGCCAGGAGAGCTTTTTGGTCATGTTCAGTCTTTCCAGTTACCCACCGCTCATCCCTGAGTGCTGGATCTTGATGAAACGTGCAGGAGTCTTTGAATCACTCGTGTAAATCCTGATAATAGACTGAAGGGCGAGCCGGATGAGTTAATGTTTATACCTGGCTTAAGAATTCAGGCTTGCTTTTAATGCAGCAGCCAGCTGGTACTTATTGTGGGAAACTTAGGGCACATCTCCAGATGGAGCAGTTCCTGATGAATCCAGCGTTTGGGCACAGGTCCTGCGCTACAGCTTGCGCACACACCCTAGTGAGTATCTCTAGGTTTGCTGGAGTGTTGGGGGGAAAATAAGTACAGGGCTCTGTCCGAAATGCAAATCCACAGGGGGTAGGGTAAGAAGAGACTTCCTTCTAGAAAGTGCTTTCTGTACTAGTCGGTGCAGGCTCGAGCGCAGAGCGGGTCTAAGTTTGTTCTTGCAGCAACAGTGTTCGTTGCAGCATGTGATGTGGTAGAGGAAGCTGACGCTCTTGGGGTTAGCAGATATCTCAGCAGAGGGGACGGGGTTCGACCGACGGGCAGCCTTGCTGAGCAAGGTGGGGTTGCTGGGGAGCTGTGACAGCTAGCCCCCTGCTCTGCCCTCGCCGCGGCGCTGCTGGGCTCCTCTGCGCCCTTCTGCCTCGCCGGCGGCTCTCACCCTGCGCCGCACAAGCATCGGCCTCAGATCCTTGGGGCTCACCGCCAAAAACAGATGATGGTGTTGTCAGCAAGGAGATTGCAGAGAGATTTAATTAGTGCCGAAGATTCTAATGAACACTTTATTTTAAGTGGGTTTAGGCCTTGGGCAATCTGCCTCAGAGTTATGTCTGTATTCAGAGCTCTGCCCACCTAGCTAGAGGCCTGGCAGGTTTTCTCTCCCTGCATCGGTGTTTCATTTCCACCAGAAACGCTTCTCCTTTCCAAACCATCAGGTCTGTGGATGCACAGGAGTGATGTACGCTTTCAGCGGTTTGGTATCGTGGCATGTTGTGCATTATAAAGAGCTGGGAGCTTTTTGCTCTGCCCTTGAAGTGTGTCCTACACTGTTCTGTCTCTTCTCCCTGAACTAGGTCTGTGGGTCACATACACAGGAGAGTGACAGAGCACTTGAAAGTCGTCTACTACGTATCCGAGAACTTTGCAGATGAATACACGGGCACGAACCTGAAAAATGTTGAAAGGAGCGTGGAGGACGACTATATCGCAAACCTTCGAAATAACTGCTGGAAAGAGAAACAGCAGAGTGAGTAGTGCGGGGTCAGGAGTGGAGGGTCTTAGCTGCTGCCTGAGGTCGGCTTTGGAAAGGTCTCGGGGGGACTGAGTTATGCTAAAGTTATACTTTAACATGGTGCGAGCACATTTCCTGGCTTGTTGGCTTTTTTTTTTCTATCTATGACTTTGTGACAAATCCAGTACGTGGGGTTTTCTTGTTTTGTTTTGGTTTTTAATGCTGCTGTAGAACTGGTCAGACAGGAGTTGTGCCCCGGAGCTTCCTTGCGGTGTCAATAGGATATCTCCGATTTCCAGCGGAGGGGAAAGGTTGCAGCCATCTCATTTTCGGGAGGCCCCCGATAGCTCTGTGTAATATTTCAGTTGTTCAAGGACCGTATCTGAAAGCCTGCTGCCCATGGTGTCCTCCCCTGCACCCCACCCCTGCTCAGAAGGCTGCAGCGGCCGCACTGACATCGCCTCACGCGCTGCTGAAGGCACGCAGGGTTAGGAGGGACAGTTACCCAGCCAGACAGCGTGAGAGGTGATCTGGCCGTCTAGCCAGCCGGCAGCGTGTGGCTAAGGGAGGAAAACGTTTTGCAAGTC